CTCCGGCCTCCGCCCGCCCCCTGGTGGCCACCGAGCTCGGCCAGCGGCCGCTGTAAATTTCCGGCCTTTCTGGAACTTTGAGCAGTGACCACGCCCCGACCGCCCTGCGCCGGCTCTGCGCTGTCGGAGGCCCGTGTCCAGCTAGGTCACGCCCCCTGTCTCCCCACCCGCACCCCTAGTGCCCGGACCAGGGTCCTGAGCCAACGCGGCGGCCAGGAGGCACGCGAGGATAAGCGCAGGAAGCTTGTTGGTAACCGCAAGGCCTGGGCTGCGCCACTTGTCCTGGTGGCGACAGTGCCCGGGTCACTCTTAGGAGAGTGCCCAGAGTGTCCCGGTTCACACGGTAGATTACTGGGCTCCGCTGCCTTGGGGAGAGTGTTGGGAAACAAGGCAGCCAGTGGTCATGGCCCCGGGAGTGCTTAGAGGAGGGTCAGATGAGGTAACCTATAACCCAGCAAACAAGATCAATTAGACCCGCGGGTGGGGCGTTGTCCCAAGAAGCAGCCCCTGAGGACTCCAGAGGCCTTCCAGTAAAAGAGCAACAGGGCCTTCTCAACAAAAGCTTCTCAAAGCTTCTTTCCTCTCCCCTGCTAAAGAGATAATTGTTCTGACTCTTGTTAAAACCCCACGGAAGACTTCCTGAGACTACTGCAATGGGCTCTGGACTATCACAGCAGGGGCATCAGGCTCAGCTCCGTAGAGCAAGGGCACGTGGGGATCGATGCCCAAGGGTCTGGAGGAGACAGCAAGGGGAGGAGGTTCCTGCTCAACCGACCTAGCAGGATTCTTGCTGAAGGCAGGCCAGAGCTTAGACATCAAAGGTGCAGATGTGGAGGGTGATCAGATTCCCTCTGGGGTGGGGTGGGGTGGTGGGATGGTGGGAGGCAATTGTCTCTTAGCTGACTCAACAGGATTCTTGCTAAGACTGGGCCATCCATGCAGGTTGCAGGGGGCGAGTGGGGTCAAGGTCAAGGCTGATTGGAGAAGAGGGATCAGAGGAGCCTGAAGTTTGGTCAAGGAGACAGTCCAGGAGGATCTAGGGAAGCACTTACACCCTGAGCACAGGTGGGGGGTTGAGGGGACTCCCCCTTGTTGCTGCAACTGGTAGCTTGCCTGTCACCCATGGCTTGCAGGCAAGTGAAACTCACCCCTGGCCGCAGGGTTCCTGAGTGCACAGCACTGGGGCACTCGGGGCTCCTGGTGCCTGCCAAGAACACGACTGGCTCCCCAGAACAGAGCAACCTGGTCCCTGAGAGCAATCCCACTTTCTGTGTCTGTGGGTCCTGCTTGCCCCTATGTGGCTCCAGTGGATAATTGTATACAATGCACGGAATGTGGGATCTAAATCTGATATTTTCTGCTTCCTGCCTGACTCAGGGAGCCCCTTCCATGGCTGAAGCTGCAATAATGCAAACCACATTGCAGAGGATCTTCTAATTTCCCTTCACACTGCCCTGGAGGAATGCTGCAGGCATCAGTTTCCCCGTACCCGGGAAAGTCCCTGGGCCCCAGGGGCAGTGCAGTCTGCAGCCCATGGGGAGTCTGATCCGAGCTCTGGCCGCATCCTGCACTAACACTCCCTTGTCTCTGGTGGGGTGGGTCTTCTGGGGATCTGCTGATTTTTCTCTGTCCTCTAAAGTGACGCTTTAGCATTGTAGGGGTCTAGGCATCCCAAGTGGAGCCAGAGCACCACCTCCCTGGTTACTCAGCAAACGCTCCCAGCCACAGCTCTGGGCCTGCGACCCTGCCGGGCTTTGAGGATGCAGAAGACCCTTGGGGGACTCATACATCACTCAGGAACAGTTGGAGATGTCAACATGGATGCAGGCCCAAGATGCACAGGGAAAGACAAACAACTAACTCCACCTGGGGTTGGGCCGTACAAGGAACTCTTCCCGGAGGAGGTGGTTCCAGACCTGGGTCATGAAAAATGTGAATGTTGTCTCTGAGCTTTGGGTTTTCTTATTGGTGAAACACACATAATGGAAACCTTTAATTCACAGCACTGCTTGAGACTAAATATGACTGGGATGAGAGGAAATGTATGGTAAGCACTGTAGATTAGTGACCCCGAAGCCATTCACAGCACCCTTCCTCTTCAACTTTTACTGCCACAGAGGCTGGAAAGGTGAAACTCTCATACCCCCAGCCCCCTTTGCAGTTAGGAGGGCGCATGTGACAATTCTGGCCACATATATAGAAGTTCCTGAGGATGATTTACCTTACTAGGAGAAAACTCTTTGTTTCTTCCTTGTCTTCTGCCTGGAAAGGAAATGTGATGCTTGAGAGGCAGCAACCATCTTGTGGCTGTGAAGCACAGGCATGAATTTGGGACTTATCCATTGAAGATGGGGACCTGATGGCCCATGAACTATCATACAAGCCCTAGACTCTTTTTTTTTTTAAGATTTTATTTATTCATTTGACAGAGAGAGACACAGTGAGAGAGGGAACACAGGCGGGGGGGGTGGGAGAGGGAGAAGCAGGCT